TAAAGCCAAAACGGATTCACTTGATAACTTAGGTTTAAGCATGTTGAAAGCATCATAATTTTTTTTTTCCTACTTAAATTTTGAATTTTTCTTTAATAGTTTCCGTAGCACTGTTTTTTTTTTCACTAAAGTCTTTAATAAATTTTGATACAAATGCGCATAAAAGCAAGAAAACCTCGAAGCTCACTGACCGTTCTGGGTGATCCTGCATTTTTGATGCTTCTACTTTGTTTGGATCAGGATTAATATCATTTTTAGATATTTCAATACAAAAACATTTTATTTTTCTCTTGAGAAAAAATACACTTTTTTATTATTTAACTTCAGACCTAATGTCCTTGTTTTGATTCAGACCTAATTTCCTTGTATATTATAATATCGCCACTGATAAATTTTACTCCCTCTATTCTACCATAGCTTTGCTCCATAGTTTTTTGAAAAATTTCGAACGAATTGTTGATCTCATACACTAATCTGTTGTGTCGGTAGACTCCCTCATCTGTTTGAACATTTGTAGTTGTTCTTTATTCGATATCCAACTCTAGCTGAGTATAGGCTTCCTTAATGTCTAGTTCGGCAAATATTTTTGAACCATGCATTTCATCTATTACCGAATCTAATGTAGGTATTGGGTATCTTTCACGTTTAATTGCTTTGTTTATGGTTGTAGCATCAAGACATAACTAACTGTCTTATTTTCTTTTGGTACAATTACAAAATTACTTATCCATTCTTGTGGTCCTTCAACTTTTTCAATAATGTCTGCTTCTTAAAGTCGCTTTAACTCTGCTCGAATGTCTTTTCGAAGGTGATAAGGATAACGGCGCAAATTTTGCACAACTGGTTGTATGTTTTTATCTACATAAAGTTTGCATTAAAAATTTTTTAATTTACCATGTCCTTTGACAATGTCTTTGTATTTTGCAATTAACTTTGTCAAATTATTTTTAAATTTTAAAGTGACTTTACAATTTGAATTAATATGCTCAAAACTATTATCATTTTGATTTGTTGGAGGTTTGATTTTATCCTCAATAATTTTACACACGATAGAATGCTGTACAGCTTCATCTGACTTATTATCCACTGAATTCATATAATTGTCTTTATTATTCACAAACTTAACACTTTCTGCAATTTTTAAAATATTCAACTCCTTAGCAGTGTCAATCCGCATTATAATTCCAACATTATTTTTATCTACGATATATATATTGTTTGTAGTTATTTTGTTATTAGCTTCAACTTCAGCTTTGAAACAACCAATTAATTTTAAAGGCTTCAAAGCATATGGAAAGATGGTTGTTGATGATTTCTTGATTATTAAATTTGGATTGTTGCTGCTAATTCTGTCTTGTCTATATTATCATTTCGACTGAATCTCGATTTAATGTTTGTCGTTTGTTTTCTTCTTCTGAAAAAAGTTTGTTTTTCTAAATGATCTACTAAGTCGATTTTCTCTGAGCATACATTTGTTTTTTTATACGACATTTTTTTTGCCTATTGTTCTAACACTTCCATGTTTCGACCAATCTCAATTCATTTCTCGAGATTTATTTCTCTATCTTTAAGTAGTTTTTGTTTTATTTTTAAAGAATAACACGATGATATGATCTGATCTCTCACTGTCTCTGTAAAATTTAGAAAGCCACAACACTCCGCTTGTTTTTTTAATTGTTAATAAAACTCACTTTACTTTCCCCTTCATTTTGTTTGGTCTTCGTAAAGACGTAACGTAACGTTCGTATGTTATATTTTTTCTTGAACTGAAATATTGATCGTTGTCAGCTCCTAGCAGGGTTTTATAGATTTCTTTTACATCGTTCCCTGCTAGATGCAGAAGTAACGCCTTTTTTTGTGCGTCTTGCGTGACTCCAGTTGCAACTAGATATAACTCAAAATTTTCTTTCCATGTTTCCCACTGTTCGTCTAAATTAATTGTGTCGCTTTGATTTATAATAAACTGTTCTACTTCAGGTAAATTATTAATTATTTTCGCCATAGTTTGATCTTCATCGCCAACTGTTGTGTTCAATATTTTAAATATATATCAACTAACTCTTATTTTATTTGTATTAAAGATTTATTATAATAACGTACATATTTACAACAGGTATTATATGAACAAACATAACACACTACAATATCTTTCTAACTAACGCACGAGTTTTAATGCGTTCCACATGAACGCACTCTTACCAATCATAATGTTATGTATTTCGTTGCCAACTCTCAACAGTTAATTCAGTTACTAAATAATGAAACGTTAATAATAAACTTTCTTGGTTTTTATTTTGTTTGTTATTACTTCTAGGCGGCGATTGAAAATTTAATTTGAAGCTTTTAACTGTAGTAGATTGAACAACTTTGGCTGGTAGACTATTCCATCCATCAACAACTCTATTGCTAAAAAAATATTGCCTTTTCAAACAATTTCTGACCAATTCAGGTTTCATTCGATGTTTTTCTCCTCTACTGTTAGCTGCAGGGCCTGATAAGCAAATAGAGTTCATTGTATCATCCGGTATCATTTTGGTAGCTGTTCGTTGGACTTTTTCTAGTTCATTAATATCTTTTGTATAATATGGGCTCCATGCTTGAATTGAAAACTCTAAAATTTGTGTAACATATATACAATACAGTGTTTTTATTAGATCTTTATCCTTGTACTTGAATGTATTATGCAGTAGTGAGAGCACACTATTTGCTTTACTAACTGCATATTTTACTTGTTTGGCCCATTTTAAATCACTTGATATATAAACACCAAAGTCTTTTTCTAGTTTTGACTTTTTAATTTCCATTAATGTATTGTTATTGTTTATAAAAGATGAATATTTGTTATTATTTGAACCATAGTGCATAATTTTACATTTTTTAAAATTTAATCCTAATTTCCATATTGTTGACCATTTGTCAAGTTTATTTATACCATTTTGAAACAACTGTATAATCATTTTGATAAAAAATAGGCGTAATTATCTTACTATCATCAGTATAAAAACAACATTCATTAATAAAATTTTCTGGTAAATCATTTATAAATACTAGCAAAAAGCAACCCGTAATACGGGTTTTGGTCAGTCTGTTACATAATTAGTTTATAGTGGCTGTTTTCCACAATTTAATGTAGCAAAACCCTCAATAATACCCTTCGTTTTCAAACGCCTTCAGCTTGAAAACGCCTTCAGCTTAAAAACGCCTTTAGCTTGAAAACGCCTTCAGCTTGAAAAAGTTAATCCATATGTTAAATTAACATAAAAAGTATTAGGAGATAAAATAATTTAACAAACACTACTTAACATTATTTGAGTAATTTACAACTAACTTAGGTCTTAACAGTGTAAGGCAGAATCATTTTTATGAAACAATTGTGAATCATTTTGAGAAGAAATAGACGAC